TATCCCCCTTTCACTTCCTAGAGATAAATCTGAATTTCATGGCAAAAAATGAAGGTAATTAGGTCTAAAGTAGGCAAAAAAAAAAACCCCCAACCCTTGATTTTTGTAATTTTTTCTCTTTCTTTCTCTTTACCGTTCTAGCTACTGATTGACGTTACCACTAGCTCCATCACAAAAAGCCAACATAACCTTTGACCAGCCATCATTGGTCTCTTTCCCCCTCTTTATTACCCTCTCTTTTTTTTTTACTCCTTTCCTCTCTCTTCATGTCTCTAGCTTCGCCTTGAAACCACCATTTCTTCTCCTGTCACACCAAGCACCACCAGTCAGGCTGCAAGCAACACCCTCATCCCAAGTGAACTTTGTCAGTTATCCCCACCTACAAGACAACTTTTGTTCCTTTTCCTTCAATCAGAGCATACAAGACGTGAATTAATTCACATCCTGCACTGCTGGTATTCAACGATAGTTATAGGGATGGGTTGGACATGTTTCTAGCCTACCTTAGATGGTTAGGTTGGGTTCGGCTTAACCCCAAAAAAAGAAAAAAGATTTGTTGGGTCGTGACCAGCCCAACCCAACATTCATGGGCTTGACCTAATTAGTTGGGCCGGCCCATCCCACATATATTTTTATGTATTTATTTATATAATTTATGTTATAATATTTTAAAAAATAAAAAATCTAAAAAAATAAAAAATCATTTCAAAAAATTGTGATTTTCTCAAGTATCAAAACCTTTAAATTAATTTCCTTTAAAAAAAAGAAACAAAAAATTATTTTCATGCATACAGTCAAATTCTAAAATTCTTTCCAGACATATTTTCATAAAAAAACAAAAATTTGTATCTTTCTCATGTTTTGAAAATCAAAGAAAAAACATATATCATAACCAATTAATGATCATCTATTAGGGTTTGGCTAAAATATTAAAAACTTCTTTTCAATTTTTTTATAGGGTCTAGATATAGACTTTAAATATGTTGTGTGTAAAATTACATGATAAAGTACACCATCAGATATTAAAGATACAATGTGTAAATAAATATGATGCTAAAATTCAGATTTTAGAATGGTTAGAATTTAATCCGATGAGGTAGAGACTCTCCCATGAAGAGAAATCTACTTTGAACCTTAAAAAATATCAACAAATAAAAACCTAACCTAGAAAAGCAATCAAACAATAATGCAGCTTACCTT